ATTCTAAACAGAAACAAATTATTAAAATTAAACAAAGGTGCCTCAAAGATTTATCAAGATTACTTGACGGCTTAAGGTTAGATTGATTATTTTGAAGAGTTGGACTTTGTGAAACACGATACTGACGATAGTCGAGAGTTGGGAAACTTAAATTTTGAATTAAAATATGCTGTATTCAATCACCTTGATCATCACTCCGTCAGGCTCGTTGAATTCTGGGGTAGGAAGGGGTTTTTAGAGAATAAAATAGTGTTTTGCTGTAGATTCTTTTGTATATCATTCAAACTCCGTAACCCCCCCCCCCCCCCCCACATCCACACACACATTGTTTGTTGCAGTAGGTGGAAAATGTTATCATGTGTGCCATGTTATTTCATTGAAAAATTCTCATCAATTTAGAGGAAGATTCAAACCCCTTCCGAGTTTTAACAGCGTTTTTTTTCTTTTGTCATGTGGAGCGGTGGCTGCCCTCTCCTTTGATAAACGTTGCTTCGGGCCTGTCTTGTGTTTATGTCTCTCACAATATGAAATCACTCATTAGGTTTGTTACTGACTGTCTACAGAAATATATCGGGTTGATGATAGACGGCGATATATTTCCGTAGGCAGTCATAAACCATTTCAACGAGTTGAATTAATTGATTGTATGTTGATTTACTTCCCGTTCGAGAAAATGTCAGTCATGAAGAGACGTCACCAGTGAAGGATCCTGTCTTAAAGCGGGCCTCGGATTTTACATTCTCATCCGAAAGACCTGCAACTTTCACTTCAAAGTGCCGAGCGCTTGGTAAAGGAACAGTTGCTGACTATTTGTGATCGCCTGAGGTTAGTTGTGGTCGGGGTTTGAACTCACGACCTTCCGATCACGGATTTCTACCAAATGAGTTAACGTGAGGATCTCAACGAGTTGGATAAAGCAAATATAAAATCACACAATATTAGATGTTCCATTTATCTCGTACGATTTTAGTTTTTAGGGTCTCCTGAGTCACTCAGGTGACCTATTGATATTGCTATCCGTTGTGCATTACATTTGAACATTGTCAGCTTCTTTTCTGAAACCGCTAAACAAATTTCAACCAATTTTGGCATATGGCATCTATGGGTAAAGGGAACAAAAATTGTGAATTTTGTGCCCCCCTAGGGTCTGAGGGTGAAGCAAAATTATCAAAATAAATGCAATCATTGAAAATATTCTTCTTAACTCTTAGACATCAAGCAGTCAAACTGTTGGCATGATTGTATTAAGCACTGGGCCTTCTACCAAAATTGTGAAATTCATGGCCTCAGGGTCAGGGGTTCTGGTGCTAGGGCTATATCGATCACATAGCGAAAGTGCATTTTTTGAAAACCTTCTTCTCTGCTATTGGGTATTATACAAACAAAGTGCATAGTTATGATGAGCAAGGGTTCCTTTTACAAAATTGTAAATTTCATTGCCCCTGGGTCAGGTATTCTGGTTTAAGGGCAGGACTCTGTTGATTATGAAGTAAAAATGATTGTGAGGTAAAAATGCATTAATTCTTTGAAAATTTTCTTCTCTGCTCCTGGGTATTAAACAAAAAAAAGTACATGGTTATGATAAGCAAGGATGCTTCTTTCAAAATTGTGAAATTCATGGCCCAAGGGTCGGGGGTTCTGATGAAAGGGGGCTCTATTTATTATATAGTGGAAATGAATAATTTTGTTGAAAGTATCTTCTTCTGCTCCTGGATATAAAGCAAAGATACTAATTTTAAAGTTATGATGAGCAAGGATTCTTCTTCCAAAATTGTGAGTTTCATGGCCCCTGGGACAGATATTCTAGTGTAAGGGTGGGGCTCTATTGATGATATAGTAAAAATGCATAAATTCTATTAAAATAATCTTGTCTGCTCCTGGGTATTTGATCAAGTGTTTTGGTGCTGGCCAGTATTAATTTGTATTTTACTGAGAGAAGTTATTCCTCTTTGCCATTCACCAATGATGATTAATCACTGTAAATAATGTATTTGAAAGGTTAATAAAATAAGAAAAATATGCAATTACAAGAATTTTTATTGTCAAATATGGAGATAACGAAAAGTAATTAAGCTCAAAAATCCATAGAAAAAATCAGGAGCAGAGAAAAAAAACAGACCTCTAAAAACATCAGAGGTGGGAACAGGTGCCATGGAGAAGTAAGCATCCCTTGCCAAACTATCACACCCACCGTGTGCTCCTTGTCATGATCGGGAAAACGAAAAATTTTACAATACAAAAAGTACTCTAATAGTTTTAATAATCAGTTGGACTTGTAAATAATAGATAAATAGCAAAAATTATATCTTATTAAATGTTCTTCAAAGACTATGAGAGGCCAATGTGAGGGGTAATAATAGGGGGTTAAAAAATAGTGCTGAAGCACTATTGTTTGGTTTATAGTCTGCATGGTGATAGTGATAAATAAGAGTAAGGAGAATTACTCCATGTGGTTTTTTTTCTTCTTTTTTTTGAGTACTAGACTATTTATTTTGTAGATCCTGATCATCCTGTTTCTCTTGCTTTTGGGCAACAAAACTTCATCTATCAGTTTATTCTGTTTTATCTTATATTTCTATGTATCCTTTACAGAGTTGTAATATACTCAGGTGACCATTAGGGTCCTTAGGCCTCTTGTTAACAAAACGTTGAAAATATAGGGGGGGGGGGGGAGGGTGTGTGTGTGTGTGTGTGTGTGTGTGTGTGTGAGAGGGTGTGAGGGTATGTGCATGTGTATAATCATCAAATTCGCTAGCTTACAGGTACAGACATATGGTCTTGAGTTTGTCTATAGGCAGATTATTAATTTTAAACTTCTGCATTATTTTCTATTACTTTCTACTTTCTAGAGATATTTTCATTTGGTCATAATATCATAATCCATTGCAGTAGATCAAATAAGAACCATTTTTCATTATTTCTCGGGTACTCGTTAGTGTATAATACAAGCAGCGTCAAAAATATCTTGACTTCCGAATGAATCTCAGATATTCAAATACAAGGCGGTGCATTATGACTTTTAAGGTGTGTGACGGTACATATTGTTCTTCTTTACATATTGTCGTCGGCGACAATATTCATCTATCTACGTCAATCGTCACAGATTGTGTAAATTACACAAACATGCAGGGGCTGATCAAGCTAATTTTGAAAGGGGGTTCCAGGGTGGTAGCCTCCCCCCTCTCATACACACAGACACACGAACAAAGATTAACACACACATGGAGAGAAAAATCATCTTAGGCCGTGGTAACTAATATCCTTGTTTTACGTCCCTTAATTCTTTGAAAAAGACCCTTCAGTCCGAATGAAAAACGAGCACATTCCAAAAACTACTATAGGCTTAAAATTGAATGGCTTTGCAGTATTTCCAAAAATACAGAGAATTTGAGAAAAGTGTGTTTGTTTTTAAATTGGATTTTCCTGAAAACTTACAAGGACTTCATCTAAATATCTCTACAGTAAACCCGCTCTCTCTCTCTCTCTCTCTCTCTCTCTCTCTCTCTCTCTCTCTCTCTCTCTCTCTCACTCTCTCTCTCTCTTAATATCAAAATATTATCAATTTATCATCGATGCCTTCTGATGTATTCTCAACCAAAAAACGGACACAAAGAAAAACGTCTGACGTTACGTGAGATGCAAAGCGGTCATGCATGTATCATTGGCAAGTTTTGATCTAAGCAGAATTACATTTTCTTAATTCATCGATTTCAAGAACAAGTCCCTTGACGAATGGTTCAAGGTAATCTAAATGAGTACAAAACATAACCTGGAATAAACTCAAGAGCATTCTCTTGAGCTTTAAATTTTGTTCATCAAAGCATGATATAGTTGTTTTATTTAGTTATACCCCTCCCTTAAAATGTTGTCTGCCAAAATTATGTACTTTTAATTGAGGAATGAATTTGATACTACCCAGTTTATACCGTATAAACTTGGTTGTGGTAGTTTACGCTTTTTAACCGCTAAGTGGTTTATAAAATTTAAGCGTAAACTGTTCCAACCCAGTTTATACCGTGTAAATTGGGTAGCTATTAAATCCATCCTTAAAGTTTAATTTTCATTCATTTAGTGTAAGAAAAAAGATGATTGCGCTTTAAAAAGTGACTTCAAATTGTGCAAAATTGAAATGTAACGTCAAGCGGATAGATACGTTCTTGACGCAAGTCACGTGACGTAGGCAACCCATTAAATAAAGTAATTTTTTTTATCCAATCAAATACCGCGTTATAACCAGAATTAAATTATTTGGTTATAAACACAATTTTTAAAAGTTTTTGGTTGAAAATGAAAAGAACTATTTAGAAACTTCAGTAGAGAGTATGTTGAGTTTCATAAAATATGGCTTAAGGCTTCCAAAGATAGAGACTTTTTTTTAAGTATCATTTAGTATCATTCTAAGATTTTACGGCTTGTGTGGTAATGCATAGTAACTAAACGGTTTAAATAGCATTCACTAAGACATTTCGGACTGATTGGCTTGTCCATCTTAGTCATTCTTCTCGGACTTGATCCATTTTTAAATGGTTGAAACTATATAATTTACATAGTATGAGAAAGCTCTCAGCTGTGTCTGTTTAAGAATTTCATTCTATACATGATACCACTTGAAAATTCTTTTAGAAATTTGCAATTTTAATGGCTTTCTATTCCTTAATAAATTTGATTTTTGAAGAAAGAAACTCAGTGAGGTTCTCTATCCGTAATTGAAATGATGATGGTAGTAAATAAATAATAAAAAAACCCGATTCATTGTTTCTTAATAAAGTTTCTTGCATTTATGACACTTATTAATTAAAATTACTCAATAAATTACAATGTGTTAGAAAAAATCCAAAATCAACATCTGTCAGTATAACAGAAACATAAAATGCTTACAAAATAATTAATATGCAACATGTTTATATGTAATATGAGACGAGCAATGACTCAGGATAAACGTGTACATTTTATTTACTTTATAAGTCAAATATGAACACTTGTCTAACATAAAGACACCGCTACTTCGAGGGGTAGGTGGCATCTAAAATGATTCTACTGTGTTTTTTCATGTTAGTCGCCTCTTCTTCAGAAGGTAAGCTTAAAATCTGATTCATTTATGAAAATTTCAAATATATATATATATATATATATATATATATATATATATATATATATATATATATATATATATATATATATATATATATATATATATATATATATATATATAGGTATATGAGGTTGTTTGTGGGCACCGACCTTCTAAACAGGTTTGTGGGATCTCGCATTTCTACATTGAATAGCTATGTCATATTCATGATTTAAGCGTTATATATGGTCCTTATATAATATATAATATAATTTTTGAGATAAGATTAAAAATGTTGTATATCATTGTGGGTCATTATTTTCATATATATAGAGCATTGTGGGATAAAGTATATACATCGCACAATGCTCTATTTATGAATATTATGACCCACAATATTATCACATGCTATATATATCATGTCCTGGATTTCACAATGAAAGACATAAGAATTAATATTTGATATAAATAATATATATGTATATTTAAATATGCACAAAATAGAATGAATCATTAAGAACAGTTTTGGGGGATTCAATATAAGATTTTAACTATTACTTTTCAAGTATTTTGGGGTCATATTGCATATTAATGACTCACTGCGAAATACGATTTATGAGATTCTGAACAAGATATTTAGGGATATCCTCTCTCTCTATATATATATATATCCCACAATCTCTTACATACACATATATATAGTGACAAAGATGATCAATCAAATAATGTCCATCCCACAATGTATTATTTATAATTTATTTATTCATTAAGCAATGTTAGATATTGAACGGCATATTTTATCTATACACCTACTTATCCCAGATTTTCTTATATACATATATATAGTGAACCACATTTAAGCATTGAATTCTTATTTTTGAAAGTAATTATACAGGTATAATCACTGCATTGATTCCATAATGTCCAATCCGTAACGTATTTTTATTGATTCAACATATAGGATAGCAGACTAATATTATGAGATTCTACACTACATATTTTATGCAATCGCCTGTCCCACAATTCGTTATATACATGTATATATATAGTGACCCACAAACAGCTATGATCACTATACGTTTATAACATAATGACCTTCCATTCGTGAATTATTTATTTAAACAATAAAGAGCTTATCAACCTTATATTATGAGATTTTAAAGACAATATCTTACGTATATGCTTACATATCCAAAAGTTTATTATAGACATATTTATATCGTGACCCACAAACATGTATAATCACTATATTTATCCCACAATTCATTATATACATATATACAGTGACCCACAAACAGGTATAATCACTATATTTATCCCACAATTCATTTATACATATATACAGTGACCCACAAACAGGTATAATCACTATATTTATCCCACAATTCATTTATACATATATATATACAGTGACCCACAAACTGTTACAAGCACTACATTTTTATATACATTATATACAGTGACCAACAATCAGGTATAATCACGTGCAATATATTTATCCCACAATTCGTCATATCTATATATACAATGACCCACAAACAGGTATAATCACTTCATCTATCCCATAATTCAGTCCGTTACCATAATATATTTACTATTACCATAATTTATTTATTCAACATACAGCTTATCAGCCATATATTAGAAATTCTTAACAAAATATTTTATCCCTGCGCCTACATATCCCACAGTTGCTATATACGCATAGAAAGTGAAATAAAATAGGTATAATCATTACCTTAGCCCGGTAATGTCCATCTCATAATATTTTATTCATTTATTCAATATTATGACATTATTAAAAATATTATTTCATGCATAACACCTATACTTATCCAATAATTTCTTACATATACATGTAGTGACCCACAAACTGGTGCATTCATTAGACTGATCCCATAATGTTTATCGTATCGTACTAATATTTTATATATCAATATACAGCTAATTAGCCTTATATTATGACACTCTTGCATGTTACACTTTTCTTGCAATCGCCTACTTTTCAAACAATTTCTCATATACATGTAAATCATGTATATAGTGACCCACAAACAGGTATTAGAATGTACTATACATTGATCCCATAATGTCCAACTCGAAAGTGTATTAATTATTTATTCATTATGCAACTTATCAGCCGAATTTATTTGATTCTTAACAAGATATTTTATCTAAACGCCTCCTTATCCCAGAATTTCTTTTAAATGTAATTATTATTTAACCAAAAACAAGTATAATCATCGCGTTTAAATCCCTTAATGGCCAATCCATAACGTATTTTGTTCTTTATTCAACATACAAGTTATCAAATTAATATTATTAGATTTTCACAATATATTTCATGTAATCGCCTGTTTATCCAACAATTCGTAATATACATATAGTGACCCACAAACTGGTATGATTGCTAAATTAATCACATAATGTCCATCCCAAAATGTATTATTTATTTCTTCAACACAGAGCTGCTTATCAACCTTATATTATGAGATTTTTAACAAGATATACAGTCCCTGAAACGTTCTACTTTCCCATTTTTCCGTTCGCTCACCGTTCGTTCACCGTTCGTTCACCGTGCGTTCACCGTTCGTTCACCGTGCGTTCACCGTTCGCTCTCCGTTCACAGTTTTGCGTTCAGCGTTCACCGTGCGCTCGCGTTCACCGTTTACAAAGCGTTCAGCGTTCGCTCTTCGTTCGTTCACTTTGCGTTCACCTTGCGTTCAGCGTTCACTTATCGTTCAGTCTTTACTGTCATTCGGAACTCCGAAGTGAATGGACTTATCTTTATTTAAGTAAGGATTTACAAATTTAATAATTAACATATTGTGTTTAAAGAAAATATTATCTACAATATTTATTTTTATTATTCTAAATTAGCTGTTAGGTTATTTATTAAATTTATCTGGAAAATAAATGTTGTTATAAGTACATGTATGTACCTATGTAGAACGATGCTGAAAAATTAAATTTAAATACGGGCAATATACAGATGCTTCAAGCACTGAAACATTTTGTTGTTATGTTAAAGACGACAAATCGTTAATGGATAGATAATAACCGAGGTCAATTAATTTACCAACTTCAGCAGAAATACGAAAATATTTATTTCTAACACATTTTTTTTCAAATAATACAGAAATACATGTTAGAACTAATTCTGAGGATTATAAACAGTACTGCGGATATCCAGTTGATTTGATATCTTTAGAGCAAATTAAATTGATAGTGTGGTTTGAAAAAAAAAAATTAATATAATACCTTATAGAATTTTTTTCCACTTTACATATATAAAGTCTTTAATTAGAGAGAAAGAAATGCCTTTATAACATGATTATCGTTAATACAACCAAAGTGATTCTCCAGAAATGATATTTATATGTTTCCCATTTGATATAAATAAGAGCCCCCCCCCCCCCTTCCCGTAAATCGGTTACTTAGTTAGTATTTTCGGTATGTTTTAATTAACATTTAAATAGAAGTTAATGTGTTTTGTAGCACAAAAATTTCAGTCTCAAAACAAACATGCATCTAAACAAAGTCATTAAACAACAGTAGTTCAAAATATACATGTGCCGGCGGTGATATTTTCAAATGGCAGGGAGTAGGTTTCAAATTCAAGCGGCTTAATCATTCTGAGTGTTTATTCCCAATGTATTTTATTCATTTATTATTATTATTTTATTTTTTTTTTTTTTAGAAATGTTGGAATCAGATCTAGAAATGATAAGAAAAAATGTTAAAACTTCTTAGAAATACTTAACACTTTGCCTTCGGTGTGACGAGACTTTCACACCTGCACAGTGTCGAATGATTTTGATTGACAGGTCAAGCACGTGGACTTCGTGTGAACTTGAAGCAGGAAAATAAAAACCGATTACGACTGTAAAACAAATGGATTTGTTGATAAAAATAGTTTCTTTCATTGCCTGGTATATTTAGAAAAAAAAATTAAGAATTTTTATTTGATACACATGTAGGTACAAACATTTGAGACGGGGGGTGGGGGGGGGGCTAAAACCGAATATCTCTCTCTCTCTCTCTCTCTCTCTCTCTCTCTCTCATTTGTCTGTTTAATAAAAACTATGACAGCATATTACTTAAATATCAAGTTGTGAAAATTTAATATATAACAAATAATATGAATGCCTCTTTGTACCAACTTATCCGACTATAATCACGGCCGGGAAATGTCTACAGATACATGTAGAAGTCTGCTCAATAAATCATCATAAAAAAATAAAACTGACTCATAAATATATTATTGCATTAAAGTTTTAATATACGGGTGTATTTATGCAATACGTCCACATACCTTTGTAAAATATTTTAATTTTTTTCTCATTATTTTACGCGGAATCGTCTTGGCACGGAAATATATGTAAGGTTGTTACAACCGTTGTAATTCATTCTATAAGTCCGTAATTTGCTCTTCTAAAATCCATATTATTTGTAATGATTTTCTATATCAAATAAGAACAAACATATTTATTTTACAACTAGATTGATTTTATCTTTAATACTACAGCGTTCGGTAACAATTACAATGTTTTACAGCGATAAAAATCGTCTTATTAAAAAGCTTAATTTAAACATCGTACATATGTGCAGAAAATATTGTAAGAAACTTAAATTAATAATTTTACTTATTGTGCATGTATCTTCTTTCTTAGGACACTTTTCATTGATTTATTTATTTATTTATTTATTATTCATTTATTTTTTTTAGCACCAGGCATACATACAATAGAATAGTTTCAATGCAAGGAAAAGATCAGAGGCATTCCGAATAAATCGTTCATCTTGCGTTCACCGTTCGTTCACCGTTCACTTTGCGTTCGCGTTTGCGCTCCGTTCGCGTTCTGCGTTCGCTCACCGTTCACCGTTCACACATCGTTCACCAAGTTGCGTTCAGCGTTCACACATCGTTCACTCACCGTTCGCTCTGCGTTCGTTCAGCGTTCGTTCACCGTTCGTTCAGCGTTCGCTCACCGTTCAAGTGG